ATAGTCACGTAAAGTTGGGATTGTACTCACACGTTTCATGAAAACTCCAGAGATCCCTGAGCGACCTGGCAACTTGGAGGCGAGCGATATCAATAAAAGCACGAGAGCTAAAAGTGTGCATAATTTCGAGGCACGACATACCTGAGAGACTTCCGATGGGAGGAGACGGGTTGCAAAATTTTGCCGAGCGGGGGAGGACGAGGAGGTATGATGGTTACATTATTTATGAAGCCATAAAAGCTCGTGCTAGAACAGAACCTATGTCCTGTGAACTCGGCTCCGGCTAAAAGGTTAATGCATTCATTAACGTTTGTTCAAGACGCTCAGGTGAAGCAGGGTTCATGATGAAGGAGGCTTACGTAATTAATTGCAACTGCTCCGCTCGGTTGCCTCCTCTCTCATTCCATGGAAATGTAGGGCTTTTCAGTATAAAGAAGGGATGCAAAGAGGGCATCCCTGGAGGAGATCGAGTTCACAATAAAAGAGTGCGTCCGATGATGGAAGTCGAAAATAACATCGTATTTGACGGCATGACCAGAAAACTTGTGTGGTATGCTGCCGTGCTAAGGAAGAACGCCGTATGAACATTCGAGAGTTGCCAAATTTCCTTCGATAAAATGTTTATTTTTTAGGAAATTTTATGAACATTTTCCCTTCAAATTTTCAGAATCTTTAGGTAAAATTGTAAACTAAATTATCTGAAAAACTGGGAGGAAAATATTCATAAATTTACCAGGAAATTCGCATTTTATGAAAGGAAATTTGGCAACGCTTGAAGGTTCATACGGCGTTTTTCCTTAGCACAGCAGTATGGTCAAGTCAAAAGAGTGCCGGAGGAGAGACTGCTGAAGAAGATACTTGATTGGGCTCCTCCTGGGAAAGAGACGTGGGAAGTTCAGTGAACGAGTGGCAAAATATCGTATGAATATTTGAGGTTTATCCAATTTCCCCTGATGATACGCTGAAAGCGGAAACCATTAGCCAATTTTCTTATTTAATCTTTTGTGCCAAAAAGTTTAAAAAAAAAGAGATCACTTTTTAAAATAAATATAAAATATATTGTTAGAGTCAATTTGGCAACGCTCTGACTATGCGTGCGTTAAAATATCTCGCGCAAAGGACATTAAAAAGGATCGGATTGACACATTTAAAACCACCATTCACAACATACCCGGGGGATCCTCAGGTACGCATACCGTGTTCATTTAATGACTTTATTGAAAAACATGGTTATAAAACATAATCAAGTTACACTTACAGTCGAAATCATACCAACAAGTAGTATGAATTCATATGCATGCAAGCTAAGTGGAAATGTTGCATTGCCCTGACTGAAACGGTCATGCGTTACTTCATTCTACTAACTCCTGCGTTCGGTTTTGTCCGTTAGAGTAGGTAACGTTGACCGGAAAAGCTCAGGTATTGCCGCTGATTATAGAGTAACTAAGGGGTTAAGCCCCCTGGGCGCTACGCAGCTCAACCTCCTGTGAAGGGCGCTTCACGCCCTCTTGAGCTAATCTAAATAGAGCGGGTGGGTTCATCTGGAGACTATCTCTTGTCGATAACCGTAAAAACACGAAAATTGGCTCGGTGGATCTTAAGAATGAGCTGCATCGGNGGGGGGGGGGGGGGCTAAGGGGTATCCAGAGGGCTTTTATCTGAAAATTTTCAAAATTTTGAAGTATCTAATTTATAGTTTGAGTTAATTTCGTCATAAAGAATTATGAAATATCAGCGTCATTCCTTCTTCTCCCCTCCGTTCTTTCTCTATTTCTTGCCTCTTTCTTCACACATCTTTTTTTCAGGCAAACAAGGGGAGAGGGGAGGTGGGAGGTGTACGCCTGTACGCCCCCCACCCCCCTTGGATATGTCTATAATGAACTGTGACGATGAATGAACATTTTTATTTTTAAAAAAATTGAAAGGATTCGCAACTGTATTAAAAGAATCTGGGTCGTATTTTTAAAATCTAAAAAAAAGCAGGCTCATCTAGGGACATTCATTCCTCAATAGTTGCAAAAATTCGGCCACGAAGAATGGAGGAACGAATTCTGACAAAAATTGAAAATTAAGGGGGTCAAAGAGCTGATAGTAACTATGACTTTTATAGAAAATTTGACTCTCAAGTCATAACCCTGTCAATCTCAAAGAATTATATCATGCATCTTGTTTTTGTTCTCCTCTAAATATGGCAACATATACGGTCAGTATTTTTATTGGCTGATCCAGAGCGCTATGCCAGTGCTAAAACACTTTGATGCTCCCTGCGAAGTTGTAACAGAGACCTACTAATTGTCGCGTCAAAGATTTACGGCGGTTCACGTCTTGTTCCACGGCGACTGTAAACGGGCTAGCAGGGTCCAATTAGGCATTCATCAGAGAAATCTCGATTTATCACGAGTCGTTGAGCTTGTACGGACGGCCGGCGTTAAAAGTACACTTCTGCGCGAACTATCCTGCTTTGCTAAGGAAGAGCGCCGTATGAACATTCTAGAGTTGCCACATATTCTCGGATAAAACATTTATTTTGAAAAAATTCGTGCATTTTTTCCTCGGAATTTTCAGATACTTTAGATTAAATTGCGCACAAAATTGTCTGAAAAAATTGAGGATAAGTATGCACAATTTTCCCAGTAAATTCGATTTTTGTTAAGGAAATATGGCAACGCTCGAATGCTCATACGGCGTTCTCTCTTATTAGCATGGCAGTATTGACGAATTTTTATTGATGTTCTTTTAAGCTCTCGTGTTTCAGCTAACCCAGTTCTAATACTAGGCATTTGATTTTGCTGATTATATATACTTGTACATGCATATTTTCTGAGAACTAATTTCGCTTTCCCGTTCCATTTCGATTTTCTTCCGATTTTTCTCGAGAGAAAAAGGGATAGAAAATCTTCAACTTTGCAAATGGAGATACGTGGTTGTGCTTTTTGGCCATCGACATGCCTCGCACTTCTTTAATGCGGATAAAAGGTAGACGTGAAGTTTTTAAAAATGCCGTGTTTGCTTCGAATTTTTAAGCCGCGGACAACGCTCGACTGAAAAAAGGTTTGAAATTACGGTTTGATCCTTCAAATCGCCATTACTTTTTCATATCACGTAGATTTTGTGACTGCATAGCTGCTACGTAACGGGAAAATCGTGTTGATATTTTGAAGCGCACGGTTAAAAAAGACACGTGCATTCGAGAAATTAGTCTTCATCTACACGTGAGAATATGTCACAAAATAATATCAACTTTGACTAATTCTGTATTCATAATAGGCGAATACCGGCTTTCCAACGCATTAGAATATGAAACGAACGACATCATTTATATGTGCCTAATGGGTGGTAAATGCAAGTTGGTGGCCAAAGTGTATAACCACGTTTTTCCATTGCGGTGTTTCAAAGGTTCCGCTCCTATGTTATTTCTTCGAAGCGATACGAGCCAACTTCATCGCTCGGAATTTCAATAGAATATTCTGCTAACAGAGGAGAAACATCAGAAGAGCTTTCAAGCAAGTTCGTTGACTAGTTTTCCAAAGAAAAAATAGAGTATGACGGGAAGTCTGCAACGTCGCAAACGGAGATTCGTGATTTCGCACTTTGGCAACAGAGGTATCACATCTCTTCAGGCACAGGTAGCTCTTGAAAAAGCATTGCTTCAGCTGGAACAAACCACTCTACTTCCACCAAAGTTCTAATCTTTTTGTAATTTTTAAACATTTTATTACAAGGAGAGTCGATTTCACACACGTCGGCACTTGAATAATGGATGGATAAAGGTTTCAACGTGTTTTTTACCTGGTAAAAATTGGCGATAAGAGCTGCGTTTCAAAATACCATAGGAATTCTTATAACCGGCTGAAGTAGGCTACAGAAAATCATATAGCTGGCTGTAGAATGCGGAGAAAATCGTACGGCCGGGCTATACGAAGCGATAAAAAATTATGCAGCCGGGCTGTAGTTCTTACCGCCGGGCTTTACACTTTATTGACTGGCTGTTGCTTTTTCGCCATCGATTATAAAAGGCTATAAGAAATTGTGTAGAAATTCGTGTGCTTTGGAAATCATTAAGTTTGATACGGAACCACCTTAATATCTACAAAACACGCGCATATTTTCCTTTAATACATATTTTTTTTCATCAATTAAAATGAGAATAATCCATACAGGATGTGCAAACATTTCAAAATCATGAGTTGAATAACGCTGACTCCGCCAGATTAAATATTAGAGCCTAACACAAAGCGGAGCGGCGACGCACTGGCGCCTACAAACCTAACAGGGATACTTCACGCATTGCGCAACGCGTGAAGTATCCCTGTTAGGTTTGTAGGCGCCAATGCGTGTTTCGCGCTGGCTGCTCGCCTGCCACGGCGCTTGAAGCAACTATTTCACACCTTAGGTATCGCACAGTATCATACGAAACTGAAGGCGCTCTAATATATTAGTAATGGCAGGCATCCATCAAAAGTACGGAGCTTTTCTCGCAAAATAAATCAAGATACTACGGCCCAAAAAGAGAGCAGTATTCCAAAAACTCACTAAGTCCTAGCATCCGTAATTAGTAACGTTTAGCATACACTTTATCGCCTGCGTATTGCTTAGTCGCCATCGGCTATAAAAGGCTATAAGAAATTGTGTAGCCGGCTATAGAAGCTGTTGGAAATCTTACAGCCGGCTGTAAGTCTATGGTATTTTGGAACACAGATTCTACTGCCAATTTTTACTAGGGTTAAAAGAGACTTTGAGCAAATTTAAATGTGATGGGATGTTTAGACGAGATTTTGGTACTTTTGCACCGGAGGGGGGGGAGGGGGGTAGGTTTGGTTTTTATAAAAAGCACTTTTGGAAAAACACTTCTCAGAGGAAAAAAGTTTCAGTTTGACCCAAAAAACGCGCTCCTCCGGTGTGGCAATTTAACCGTGGATCACCCTTTATATCGTGTTATTTTTAAGTATAAGTCACAGAGAATTTGAATGTAATCTATGATGTTCGTGGTCTGTTAACAGGGATGATGTCCATCCAAATGAGCACGTCTCAAAGGAAGCCGCCGAACTACAGCCTGGACGCGATGCCGGTCACGGACTTCGATTGCCAGGACAAAATCGTCGGTGGCTACTACGCGGACCCACAGACTGAATGTCAGATGTTCCACGTCTGCACAGACATCTCCGGAGTGGTGAGTTCCTCTACATTTTTGTCAGAACGCCTCGGTGTTTTCACCAGTTTCAAATTCATGGATCTATGATTATCGGCACAGTTCGTCGTTTTCCAAACGAAAGAACATAACCCCATTCCAATTTCACAAAATTCACTCTGACAACTTAATTTTTTACGAGAAATACAACTGAACAATTATTCCTGTTCAAAATTCTGCTGACTCTGGCGTGTAATCAGAGGAACAATCAGTGAACTTTCCTGTGAAAAAACTCCGTCCAGTGGCGTGGCGTGCTTTATGAGATACATACATTGATCTGCCATTTAGACCTATGGAAAAGGATCGATAAACAGGGTGCCCGCAACAAACACCTTAATAATAAGATTTTTTTCCACAGCTTCAAATAGAGAAATATCGATAATCAATCATTCGGGTCTAGCCACTGATATGGTTCACATGGCAATTAAGGAGGGTTACAAAAGATCCTTAGTGTCATAAAACGGTCAATTTTTGCAAACCTCGACGAGAATTCAGCGGAGAATTCCCGGAAATGGATCGTTAAAAGGAGGAATTACAATGAGTTGCCATCGTAAAAATGAGAAAATACGGACGAAAACATTCTTTGATTTTGAAAAACTTGAGGTGGCACCAACCCTTATACTTAAAACTCGAATTACATTTTTTATGTATTTTGCACTTTTTGTCCCTTCAAATCCCAGTAATTCCTTACAAGGAACAATCCCAGAGTTTCTACCGGAATTTTACTCAAAGTTTACAAAATTTGCCTTTTTGTGATACTATGGTCAATGTCTCTTTGGACCCTCTTAAATCACAATGTCCACCATATCATCGTTGACCTCACGAAAGGACGTAAATATACACTTAAATGCTGCCAAATTTTCCCTCGTAAATTGCATCTCTACCAGGAGAATCTTGGTCAATGCTTACTGAAAATGTCATTGATTTTTTACTGATCCGATGCAAATGTTGGACACATTTTGGACAAGAATGGAGATGTTGCATGTGTAAGGAATTTGCGATTTGACTGTTGATTCTTATGTAAAAGTTAGCGAGAGACACGATAGTGCCACTGGTTTTCTCTGAAATCATCTCCCAAGCTCAAAAAAAGCTCTCAAGTTGAGGCCAAAATGTAGGGGATATCCCACGCTATCCTGAGAATCAACGTCTACATCAATACAAACTCTCCATGCAAAGATAGGGAGCAAATACATTAGCAGGGTTGCCGTGTTTTCAGCTTTGGAGTCCCCAATTAAAGTGGCAGCCCTTTCAATGTATTTGCTCCCTATCTTTGCATAGAGAGTTTGTCTTGATGTAGACGTCGACTCTCAGGATAGCGTGCGGGATATCCCCTCCATTTTGGCTTTAACTTGAGAGCTTTTTTTGAGCTTGGGAGTTGATTTCAGAGAAAACCAGTGGCACCATCGTGTTTCTCGCGAGCTTTTACATAAGAATCAATGGTCAAATCGCAAATCCCTCACATGCACAGTTGCAAGACTGCATGCAGTCACACATGCAATCCCTCTCCATTGCACAGTTACATTTTCGTGAAAAATTTAATTGCTTCAATAAATTTTGCAACCTTGGAATGGAGTTACGTTCCTTCGTCCAGAAAACGTCGATGCGAGACCTCCTGAAAAAGAGCTGATAAGGAACGATTATGAATACAGCCTATTAAGTAGGTAGCGTATACCTGCGTGCGCTTGTACCCGGGTGACGCACCTAATGATCCCGACCCGGGGATCACCAACAAGTTCTGCGCCTGCGCGGAAGTCATCCGGGACGCAGACTCACGCAGCGCGGGGGTGGATAGAGACGGGCTCATCGCGGCCACGACAACGCGAAGGCAGCGCTTGATTGATAATACGCCGAGGAAGTCACAGAAGTCAGGAGAAAGAGGGACGATGCGCTGGAATCAGCATCTGCATGGGATCATATTTCACGATCGCTCCGGCACGAAACACGAAAGCAGACGGAATGACGTTCCGAGTGCACTTAACCTGCACCGAGAATTTTGCTCGTGCCGTCTGCCGTTACGTGCAGTTGCTCTGATTAGTTTGCGCAGTGAGGACCTGCACTAATGGATGTTGATCAAAGTTAGCTCGGAGATTTCGATTGATGGAAGGAAGTAATTGTCTGTGGGTTTTCTTCCTCTCCCCTACCCCAACTTCCCTAACTTCACTTGCAATTGAAGCACTGGGTGCAGAAAGGGCGTTTTTTGATTGCAGTGTCTCAAAATTTTCGCTATTGTGTCATGACTATAATTAAACCGAATGTGTGTAATTTGTTGTAATTTTTACTGAATGATTTTACAGTACTGAAAACGTAAAATTTCAGAAAATTTACCCAATAGTTTCCTCTCTGAAATAAAAATTAGCACTGGAGACTCTGATATTCTGCAACCAAGAAATATTTTTTTCTGCACAGAACGCCTTAATTGTTTTTTCAATGAAAATGAAAATCAGTGATTGTTGGTGGATTTTTTAAAAACTTTATGTCTCACAGGCTGTTCAGTTTTCAACATATCTCTGAAACCAAAATCATTCTATTTATTCAAACGTTAACGAAGTTATAGAAATTTTAGTGACAAATGAAATTTTGCAATCCACGAGTTCAGCCAAACACACAACTTACTGCCCAGGTGACCTTTTCACGTATGGTGCAGGTTACATTATCGGTGGTACATGCGGTAATGATCCCCCAGCGTTGCTTGCGGTAGAGTTCCAAGCTCGAAGATGCAGGTCGCGGCTGCATCAAAGCTAGGTCATCAGACCAACGGATATAAAGCTGTTCCGACTGAGATGGGTTTAATTTAGTGTGCGATGCGGAGAAACAACTAAGTTAAAGTTCAGGTCTTAGTTAGGATCAATTTCACCGCAGTGATCGCGGAAATACTCAAATAAGTTTGTGAGAATTCCAAGGATGCCGCAATACTGCTAGTCAACGTATTGTACTGCCGTGCGCATGAATGACGTCGTACGAGCCTTCAGGCGTTGTCAAAGTTCCTTCAGCAAATCACTTCCAAATTCTCAGGACATTTCGTTCGTAATTTGATCTAAAATGTCTGAAAATTTCAAAGAAAAATATTCATGACTTCAGGGCCGGATTTACTTACTTGCCGCCCATAGGCCGCCTGTATTTTGCGCCCCCTTCTCATTCGTTTTGAAACAACAATAAAATCCATCAAGTGAACGTGCCGGAGGGGGAGGGGTGCATAAGACGCGTTTACTCGTGTTGGACACATTTTTTGCGAAAGCCCTGTCAACACTACTAGCAAAAGTTCACGGAATTTGGTACGAAAATTAAGTAATTCCGTAAACCTATCTCTATGTGGACAAGGCCTTCCATTCATATGAGATGAACGAAAAAATTATGAAACAACAAACATAAATATGGTTTAATTTTAACTTCCGCCGCCGCTCTGACCGCACTGTGTTTGGCGCAATGCGTGAAGTATTCCTGCAGTCTTGTACGCGCTATGCGTTTCACGCCGCTAGCTGCTGACCGCGGCGACCGAACGCACTGTCTTTGACGCAATGCGTGAAGTATTCATGCAGTCTTGTAGGCGCTAATATGTGTTACATGCCGACCGCCGCGCCGCTCCGAGGGTTTCTACTTTTCATCTCAAGTTCTCGTCATCATTGCTCTCTGCGCCGCACCGTTCCAGGCCAAATTCCGTGTTCGGTTTCTCTCTTCGTCTGAACTCGATTAATTAAAGGTGCTGTCTATTGCATCACAGAAAGACGACAAAATTAGAGATATACTCTCAGAAAATGAGAGATTTTGTCACCTTTTTTTGTTTGTAATTTTTTTTTCTGAATCCGATTTTTCTTTACACCTACATTTAAAAAATTGCAAAATTTGCCGCCTCCGTTTTGCCGCCATAGGCCGCGGCCCATGTGGCCACCCCCTAAATCCGGCCCTGCATGACTTTCTTGAAAAATAAATCTTACCTGAGAGGTTTGACGACATTTGAATGATCTCCTTAGCACGGCAGTGTATTGGTCACAAGATATTGACCTGAATTTTTCAAGACAGTTAATGAGGACTTTTCAAGTATTGCTTATTAGAAAATTGACGATATTTTTCGATTGAAGCGAATAAAGCGTGCTTAAGACATGCTCCTGCTGGCAGCCACACGGAGGAAAAAAATTCGTGCTCGGAATACTTTGTGAGGTCAAATGGATCTTAGAATTTTTCAGAACGTGCGCATCCAAAAACTTGATGTCCATCTGCCAAAGTTTGGAAAACGCATCTGAAATACTTTCGGTACTTTCGTTGACTCCCGAAAAGTTCTAGTAATACTGCGAAACGTCCCAGGTTTTTTTATTTTGTTTTTATTTTTGCGGCCTTAGTCCTATTTTAAGTCGATTTTGCATTAAAGGTTCTAACCGAAGTACCTGAGATGTATAACCAAATTTCAGCAGCTGAACCTCAAGTTTTCAGATGCCCAAGCCAAAAACTTCAGAGATCCATGTGACTTAATCGGGTCCCATGGATAAAGTTTTATTATTATTATTCGTACACGCATATTGCCAATAAAAGGCGAAAGAGTTTAGGAGAAATTACCTTTTTTTTTTGGAGAAATTTATATAAAGTTTAGATGAGAGAATTTTGGAATTCAACTGGTCGTATACCTTTCCACAGTAAAAAATTCAAACCGAGAATTACAAATTATTCTATTTAGAAAAGGGTTAAAATATAATTTTTCTCTGGATCCGATGGTTTTTCTTAAGTTTTCTGTGATTCGTGTCCTTACTGACGAAGTTCATCTAAGTGAGCTACCTCTGATCATTTTATTGAAATTTCAATGACAGTCGATTTAATCATAGTAAAATTAAAAACCAAACTAACCGTACCTAGAGAATAATGATACCATTGAATATTTTTTCAGCTTCAAGACTTCCGGTTTCTGTGTCCAAACAACACAGCATTTGATCAGGAGAATCAAATTTGTGACGATTGGTACAACATCGACTGCGAAGCTGCAACATTATTTTACAGCGATAACTTCGATTTATTCCGTATTGGTAAGTTGTTCACCGAGTTACTTAATGAAAGTTAATTTACACCATTGTTATGAAAAGTATACATACAGTTAATGTAAAGTCTTAGGTGAGGTAAAAGATTAATTGCTTTTCAAAGGATCTACTTAATATACACAAGAAAGGAGAAAAACCACGCGTTGAGACAAAAGACAGATTATACAAATAAATATAGGTGATCTCGCGAGCGTGTAATCTAGATGGTATTTTTGTATTTTGAAGGCGCTTCTGAGACTTGATTTTTAGATTTAGATTCAGTCACTAATATTCAATGTAATGGACCATATCTTTAAAAAAATCATTATTTTATCGAATCTCTTAAGCTGTTTCTGACACCATTAGGCATGGGTATAATAAATTTTCAAAAATTGCAATATATTGCAACATGTAAATATACATAGTGCAAACATATAGGATGGGCGAATTTAAAGTAGCCCGATTAATACACATCACATTAAGAACACACCATGGGGAACAGAGATTAAAACTTATATTAAAAAATCGAGGTTTTTCGCCTAAATTTTTGGACATTTTCAATCGGAGGATTAAACCCTTATTTCAATTCTTCAATTGAAAGTGCCCAGGAGTTTCGGCGAAACGTCTCGATTTTTCAATGTAAGTTTTAGCCTTTTCTCGCCATGATGTGCTCTTATCTAGCGTATTGCAATATATTTGAATGTATAAATAAATTGTCCTTTTCTGCTACCAAATTATCTTGTTCCTATTTAAAAATAATTATCATAACTAAACAAAATCATAATGTCTTAACTTATTAATAAATTCAATCACGCCTGAACAATTTCGGTGGGGATTGCTATGATATTTGAACATATATAGTATTTGTTTGATTTTATACCTCGGCCCTGCCGCAGACAATACCGCAGTGATCAATAATTTTCAAAAATTTTAATTACATCAGCTTCCAAAACAGTTCTCAAAGCTGAACTGCAGCGTCTTTTGCAATAAATACATACTTCATGCATGCTTTTTTCGTTCGGTTCTCTCGATTTCTCTCTTTCCTTTCTTAAAATGAAAAATGATTGAAAATGGAAGAAAGAAAACCTATTCAATATCTTAAAATTTGGCTCTGAAAATCATCAAAGCAACTGAATGAAAGAAATATTTTTACTCAGATAAACAACCACGTAATTTCGCGTTTCATCTGAGACGTTGTTATAAAAGGCGCAGTAATAATTTAATGAAGTAGGTTGTCCAAATAGGTAATACATTCACCGACTCCCTCCCCCTTCGGCCACATTCAATGCAACTGTTATTGAGTCCTAGATCCCTGTTCAAGCCAACTGTTCGCGACACTCTTCCGCTTTATCATAGTTTCATTACATGCTCAGGCGCATCACCTACTGCATCTATTACGAAAGGATTCACCAGTTCAGTAGAGGTCATCTCATCGAGTTACAATGTTGCCACATTAGGGCTATAGCTCATTATAAAATCAGCTATTTTTTGTGAATATGTATTCCAAATTTTGAATCACTGATCGAGAATATATATCTGTAGAAAGCAATGGTATCGACGAATGTCAAAAGGTCGTGATAACAATCAAGGAAGAGCAAATAAGGTGAGAGCACATGCTGTCAATTTGTAGTTTTTTTTGACTTCATGATTTAACAAAGATATATTCCCAGTTTTTTTCCATGCTACATCGATGACTAAAGTGCATAATCAGGTATATTCATGATAACGTTTTAAAATTGTCGGTTTCATTTTGCTTTTTTGAAAAGGAATATTCCAAATAGCTTGAAATTTATGTAGAATGTCTTACTGATGGTGAACACTAATCAAGGCAATCTTCAAAGAATTGCGTTGAATAGTTTTCCAAAGAAAAAATAAAGTATGGCAGGAGGTCTGCAACTTCGTAGACGAAGATATTAGGGGAAATCACACTAAATTTCAGGTTAACAGTTACTTCACAACGGAAGCACGTGAACTGATACAGATTCTGAAATCCCTCTCCAAAACTTCTTTATACTTCGTCCTTTCGTACATAAATAAAGGTAATCCAAAGTTGATAGTGATGCACGAGTGTTTAAGCAGAGGATCCGAAAATATATTTTAAACACTATTCCAAACGTATCAAAATCTCAGTCAATTTGTCGAAAGTAAATAGTCAATTCAGGCATTTCATCAAATGCCTAGGCAAATAGTCAAATGTTAAGGAATTACGAAATTTTGTAAATTTATGGCGAATAACTCATGAATTTGCAATCGTTTGGGAAACATAACTCATCAAATCTTTGAACTTTTCTTCTTCCTTCCTCTATAAATGCTTCACGTATATTTTAATTTTAAAATTTTAAAAATGTTGTATTTTAAAACATGCTGAAGATTTCAAGATAAATGTTCTTTAAGGAGCTAAAAATCGTTTGAAATACTTTTGTATGAAGCACATTTTTACAGAGAACTCATTCTTTCAGGCGTAATGAATTTTTTTATCTGCAATTAGGAGACGAATCGGAAATTTATCTGTTAGTCAGAATATTTGACCATTTAGGATAGGTTTGAATGTGAAAAACCACAACTCAAGGTGTTATTTTGATAATAAAATTTTATTCAATTTTATTCATTTTTTGGAAATGATTGAATAAAATTGTATTATCAAAATTAACCTTGCCTTTGTGGTTTTTCAGTTTTTCACATTCAAACCTATCCTATCTTAACTGGTGTTAACGTGATTCTCATCACTATGTTCAAATATTTGACTATTATTGCCGAGGCATTTGACGAAATGCCTCATATTTACTATTTGCCTTCGATAAATATATTCGATCATCAGTATATTGTAAGTCACATGCCGATGGTAGAACAATTTTAAACCGTCTAAACAATTTTCAAGCGACATTACCTCCATTTCGGTTTAATCTGGCACCCGGCTCCCAAGGCAAATATTAACTCATGCAAGGCGGGCAATACAGCGAATGCAGTCGGCTCATCGGAGGCACCCGGCGTTACGAAACTTTGATTTCGGTTTCGGTTTTGACGACCGAGCGACCGGACAAACGGACCGGAGGACACGGATAGAATAGCGTAAAATACATAAATCATACGGTTCGTTGAGCCCGGTTGGTGAATAACGCCTCGCTATCACGATTCCGTAGGATAAGAAGTTTTTTTCGAAGCTGTCGTTGGCCGCCTCGCTGGTCATTCGCGTTGCCTCAATGTGCAATGGGTGCCGTTGAAGGATCCGAGGAGAGGTATGGATTTTTCGCCCGATCTGGCAACCTCGACGCGTAATGCACGCGTCTTGTAAGTTATGCAGCTTGTGTGCGCCGCGTCGGAATTATAATGCAAGTGTCAGTCAACGATTGTAAATCTTCTCGTTTGTAAAGTGCAACGAGGAGAATGGTGAGAGTTACGATCGTTTCGCTATGAGGGTGTATTTTATAATCGGGCTCAATAAGCCGATGAGGTGACACGAACATTTGGTTGGGTTTTAATGGCTGTCTCGATCGAATCGTGAAATTTAAAGCTGCCAAATGTTGCGAAACAGGTGTATAAGATGCAGCCACTTAAATGCTGCCGTGCTAAGGAAGAACGTCGTATGGACACACGAGAGTTGCCGAATTTTCCTGGATGAAAGATGTGTTTTTGATGCAATTTAGTATATTTTTCCTTGAAAGTTTCAAATATGTTAGAATAAATTGCGTACAAAATTGCCTGACAATTTTGGGGGAAAATATTTACAATTTTCCCAGTAAATTCGTTTTTCATCGAAGGAAATTCGGTTTCAGAACGTTTTGTCCACGATCTTTTATCCGCGCACCTTTTTTGTTCAGTAGTTTACGCCCACACGTAAAATAAGCAACGATGACTTGGTCCAAGCATTATATTTTAGTCGGTATGTAAAATTATATTGACAAGATGGAAATGAGAAATTGAGAGAGAAGGAGGTGTTGTTATGGTTACTCATTTTCTAAATGAAATGTTATTACTTTCTCCTTTTGAATCATCTTTTTAAATTGTCATTGGTGAATATTTGGTTTTATTTATATCCTTAAAATATTCGATGTACAAAATATCATATATGTATAGGTACTTTTTTTATTTTTTTAATTTTTTTTTTCCGAAATTATAACTTAAATTTGAAAACATTTATATTTTTAAAACGTGACGAATATTTGTAAAACCTTTTCCAAGCGACATTAATCTCAATAAACCGCAGTTATGCCGACAGAAACTGCAAAAATGAATAAAAGAGGGGAAAAAACCAAGAAGCACGCAATCTTTAGTTTTAACCTAATTGTACATCGATCTTTTAGAGTCAAATACGTCAAATTTTGAGCGTTTGGTTGCGCGTACACCTCGTTGCAGCACAATAAAAGCACAAAATGTAAAAAAAAATTCAAGTGCTCTGGAAATCATTAAATTTGACACGAAACCACCAATATTTAAAAAACACACATTATATAATCATTCTCCTTTGATAAATTGATACATATTTTTCTCATCAATTTTAATGAGAATAATCAATGCAGAGTGTGGAAACATTTCAAAATCATGAGTTAAAAAACGCTGACTATGCGAATATTAATATTAAAGCCTAACAGAGCAGAGCGTGCTGCCAGCGCGAGAGGCTCACTGGCGCCTACAAACCTAAGTGGATACTTCACGCATTGCACCATGCTTGAAGTATCCACTTAGGTTTGCAGGCGCCAATGCGCGTTCCGCGCTGGCCGCCCGCCCGCCGTGCGGCGGCGCCTGAAGCAACTATTTCACAACAAAGGTGTTGCACAGGATTATACTAAATTGAACGTATTAATAATGACAGGCATCCTTTAAAAGTTCAGATCTTTCCTCGCAAAATAAATCAAGATACTTATCGTACACTGGAAAAATCTAAGACCCTTTAGCTGAGGCAAAAATAGAGGTTTATCCGATTCAGGTATAACAAGGTGGGAAAATCTTGAAACATAAATAAGTCATGACACACCAAAGAGGTGTAGAGAATTTTAGTGAATTTTGTCTCATGGAATTGACGCTCCCCCATTTTTACCAAAACTCTCAACTATATATTATTCTCCGTTGGACCAAACAGACAAAACAAAAAAACAAGCAAACCCTCATTCTTCCAAGTTATTTTACATTTTCATCCAAAACGTCGTTAGCAATTGTCGTTTGTATTTGCATGTGGGCCAAGTAGCTTTGGGTCTCAACTGGCAAGTGGACCAAAACTCCCGTGCCGTTTGACCGGCCTAACTTTTGCCATCTTAGTTTTTCTTTTTTATCTATCATTTACGGGCTTAAAAGTGATTGCCCTGCAATATGTCCTTGTTTGAACCTAATTCTGGAGGTTCATTTATATTTGCAAATATTTGGTCTTTGCTATTCGAAATGTTAACCACGACTTTTCAAGGCATACAATACCCTATATCCTGTTTATGATTTACAATCGTAGGTAGATTTGAGGTTTAATATAGCCTGATTATAGACAGATATATGCTCGAGTAATTCTAACAGCTTAATAAAAATTCTACCTCTCCTTTTCCAGATGCTGATAGGAGCAACAGTATCGTGAATAAAGTGACCCCTATTCCTCTTGGACCCTCCACGAGCGCTAAACCGAAAGTGGTGAAGGCTAAGAAGCCTCTTGGGCCAGTGAACAATGCAGTCACTGATGACGAAGACGATCTCTTCCTCCAGAAAGCCGATACTGGTGATAGGAGGCTACATCAAGATTTGCTCAGGTAATTTTAATTTTTTGCTGACTTGGATAAGCAAGTTGTTTGTCAAAAGAAGGAAAGAAAAAAAGAAAGATAGAAAGAAAGAAGGTTTTTTACAATTCCTGATTTTTTAAATAATATTGGTATTATCTAACGTTACTCAGTAAATTTAATGCGATTCGTTTGGTTTTAGTTTTAAAGCATGTAGATATATGCAAGGAAATACTTGTAGTAGTTACGTGATACTTTAATAAAATGTCTTCAAAAGGGAAGAAGGGAAGAAGGAAATAAGGAAATAAGCAAAAACGGAAGGAAAACTCGAATGACATCATGCGGAATGTGTGCTTCACATGTAGTGGGAAGATGGATGACTAGACTGAAATCATACGTGGTATAATGTGAGCGTTCAATGAGAGTCGGTTTATACATTGAAAATGCTGAGATTCCCCGTGTATTATTAGAAAATGCTCGATGAAGGACCAAAAAAGGGTGCATGCCAAGTTTTATCTATGCATATTTTTACATCCCTTCCTCCCATCAAAATGAGTCATTGACATTCAATGACCAATAATGATGCAGTTCAAATTTTCTAGGCTTTTGCACGATGACAGCTTAGGGATTTGATCCCACCATCAGGTAAATTTTTGCTAATTTTTTAGCACCTGATGATGGGAGCGAATGCCAAAATTGCAATTGTATTAAGACTTAAAGAATTTTGACTGAATTAGTGGTCGGCCGCAGACAAAGTTACTTTATACAACCTAAAAATTTATAAAATATGTACTGTGATACTTGTATATAGAACACTTAAGAAGTTTGATTATCAGAACTTTTGATTCTTATCGATTTGTATCTTTTTATATTACAGAGGTAGCAGCAGCAGCAACTTCTTCGAAAACAAGAATCGTGGACGCGAGGACTTCGACGACGATCTGTCGGGTCAGCGAAAGAGCAACTTCGTGAAACCGGCCGACGAGAAGAAGAAGACGAAAGTGGCCGTGCGGAAATTGCTCACGGGGAAGCGGCCGGTGAGCCCGAAAGCCGAGGCCCAAACCACACCCCCACCAGCGCCCACCACCCAGTTCCCATCCACGACCACGTTCCAGAACTTCTTCCAGAAGACCAAGTACAACACCGTGAGCCGGAATCGGGACTCGGCCACAGCCTCAGCTCGATTCGAGGCGTCCACAACCCCGGCTCCCACCCCCACCCCAACGGCGAGGAACTTCTACAACCCCCAGAAGCAGTACTACTCCAAGTCCACACCCAAGACGGCCACCGCCTCCTCTCCAGCGCCGTTCAAGTCCCGCGGCTCGGTCAACTACAACACCTACCTGAAGTCGCAAACCAACGCCGACTTCATCGACATCCCCAAGACATCCGCCGCCCCCGTTTACAACCCCGTCTACAACCCCACCTACAAGGCGCCGTCCCAGACGCCGACGCCGTACAACTCGCCGGACATCACCCAGGCCTACTTCAACTACCAGACACCCTCCGCCCAGCCCGCCAACCAGAAGCTGCAACAACCCAACTACCAGCAACCGCAGTCCACTAACTACCAACAGCCGCCGACGACCTATCAACAGCAACCAACCAACTTCCAACAGCCCCAACAGCAGACTGTTCAGCCGAATGTCAACTACCAGCCGTTCAACCCGGCTCGAACGACCCAGAATGCCGCCACAACCCAGAACTTCCAGCCCTCCAGGCAGCCAGCTATAGTCAGTCCTACGAACTACCAACAACCCCCATCAGTTAGCCAGTTCCAGCAGCCCTCGACTGCCAATCAGTTCTACACGGCGAGCACCCTCAGCCCAACGACTCAATCACCGGCATTCAACTATTACCAGCAGTACTCAACTGCGGCTCCTAGCAGTGCGTACCAGACATCTACTTCTTTCGCCTTCTCACCGAGCTCTACCGCAGCGCCACCTGCCTTCCAGAAAGCGAACTACTACCAGCCTAAAAAAGACTACAGCCCCAAGGCGCAGGTAGCCCCCGTCTACCAGTTCAACCCGAGCGAGGATAAGTACGAGGAGAATAACCCTGACGAATTTTTGAAGACTGCCCCGAGCTCGAATTTAAGGCCCAGCGACATAAACGCTCTGGGCTCCTTTAACAAGTTCAACACGTCCGTATCGGCGTCTTTCAAATTTAGTCAAAATGCCGTTTCAAAGTCCTCGACGGCTTACAACCCTAGCTCAACGAAGGCTCCCGCTTTCGGGAACAGCGTTTCTTACAACCAACCCCCGGCGAGGAGCTCGCCGAAACCTTTCACTCTGCCGGCGTCGACGACACTCCCGCCAAAACCAGTGACAAGCGCGCCCGCCGCGAGACAGCCCCAGCCTAACTTCCAGCCGGCGCCAGCGGCGGCCCAACCCAACTTCAAACCAGCGGCGGCCCAACCTAATTTCAAGCCAGCGGCGGCCCAACCTAATTTCCAGCCTGCGCCTCAACCTAACCAACCCAACCAACAAAATCAGCAAAATCAGCAAACGTCCGGCAACAATGACTATGATTACGCTTATTACGATGATGGCGCCGCTGAGTACGATGGAGTAGAGCACATTCAGGAAGAGTTCCACAAAACCAAAAATATCAAAAAAGCATAGGTTGAAAAAATCTGACGCGTGTCCACTGTTCTGCCGTGCTAGGGAGGAACGCCGTATGAACCTTCAGGCGTTGCCAAATTTCCATAGATATAACTCGAATTTCCTGGTGAAGTTATGAATATTTTTCTTCTAATTTTTTAGATAATTTGGTTCGCGATTTAATATACATTATCTGAAAATTCCATGGAAAAATGTTCATGACTTTTCTAAAAAATAAGCATTGTGTCCGAGGAAATTTGGCAACTCTCGAATGTTCATGCGGAGTTTATCTTTAGCACGGCAGTGTTCCTTAACGTGGCTTTACCGCTGCGACTCCTGTGAGAAAATGAAGTATTTCGTGAACCCTTTTAAAGACATCAAGACTGGGGCTTAGTAAAATTCTGTTTTAAAAATTTTTCTAACGTTGGAGAAGGCATGAACAAAAATGTTTTTACCTTTTCTCATATTTTTGTATTTAAAGATAAAAACCTAAAATATCGTAAAGAGTAAAAAGAGCGAAGCAATGAAAACTTAAGTTTACAGTTTTAGTAAAAAAAACTCTTTTTTGCTGAAGTAAACGCATCTTCTAATAATAGGAATCATAATATTTAAATGGCTCGCTCCGAACTTTGTCCGCGACTATATTGCAAAATTTTAATTCGTTCTTGTATGTTTTTCTTGATAGAGAAAAAACAAATCCGTACATACATTTACTCATTTGTTAAAATTTTGGCTAATATTACCTTCGAAAATTCAAATGTGGAAGTACAAACTGAGACGTTTCAATAGAGTCGGAAAGTTTTCAAAGAAGCCATTGCATTATAATGAGATGCCCTTGAGTTTCCATTTAAGAAATGCTTGCATTAGTATCTGAACGCATGCGAGTCTATTATTTACTCAGCGTATATTATGACAGCCCCAGAGCAACACGAATTTTCAAGGAGTTGATCAAGCTAAAAGGGCTGTTCCTGTTCTTGCTTTCATCAATTTGGCCCCTGATTTGTTTTTAAATTTTGGATCAAGAATAAGGAAATCCTATTATGAATTTTTTTACAAAATAATGTCTCACACGGTTTATTTCTCTCAAGAGGAAATAACTTAAGTATTTCATTTTTGCATCTCCACGTGTGAGTTCAGATAGAGATTCTAGTTATTTTTTAACCATCTCGAGCTAATTTGAGGGAGGCACTCGTGACTGATGCCAAACAAACGCAGTTCTGACGAGAGAAGAGAAAGGAATGAAATAATTTCCAAAAGTATCTGCATCATATTGATCGCGCATTAAATCTAAAGATAGGGCCAATTTTAGGTTATCGATACTCAAAACACTGAGCTCACCTTCCAAGTGCCAATTTCATTCGACATGAACCTAATGTAATTCGTTTACGCGAAACTTGTAAAATATTGTTTTGTACAAAATAGCAATTAAATATACCCGGCGATTCAAGAATTTGTTAAAATTTCAAAATGTTATGGACCACCAATGGATAGAAAGAGAACCTTTGAGAAATAGTAGAGAAACATTAATGTTGCTGTTTTGAGGAGGATAGATGAAATTATGCCAATCCGTAACATTTTAACGGTTTCAGCATGATTCAATCTACCTAGATTAATGTTAAACGTCTCTTGACGTATTTTGATATGTGAAATAAAGAACAAGTGGCTTGTGAAATTTTTGTTTTACTTTACACGAAGTAAGTATTGGTAAATTATTACTCATTCAAACAAAATTTACAATTTTTGTGAAAATCCAGAGGACATGTAGCAAAGGGTGGATGATGATTGATTTAAGAAGTGTCAAATTCTCTCTAGACGCGTACCTTATCTGTGTTTTAATCATAATGAAAAACATAATCTTTGTCTTCCAAGTCCTTTTCTTCTCAAATTAATCATCCTTCAGTTATTTTGTATTCCTAAAACTGCACAAAGGATTATGCTTGAATCAAAGAACTAGATCCCACCCTTGTTATGTAAATTAAAGTATTTGTAAAACTTTTCTTAGGGGTCCTCGTGTAATATAATTTTCATCCAAATAGTACAATTTCTGAGCCAAAATGTAAGATCCTATTTAGAATAGAACTTTTTTCATAATAAAATTTTTTAAAATATCAAATTGTAGAAATCAAATTGTACAGATTCCCTTTCATTCTTAATCTTCCCGCGGACTGATCGTTAAAATTGATAGACTAAGCTATAGACAAGAGAACTCAAAGGTATCTGGAGGGATCCTATCGTTGGAAGCGGGTGGTTGCAACGGACAAAGGAGGAAGGTAGTAAAGGCTCGAGGTGAACTCGATGTAATATACTAACTAACGGTACGAGAGACCCTATCTATAGTTATAGTCTATCATTTATCCCCTCAGTCTATGAGAAACACCCATTTCAACCAATAGGATCGCTCCATACTCCCTATGTATTTTTTGTACATAGCTTTGTCAATCGAATTCAACAATCAGCCCGTTGGAGGATACATGGTCATCATTCAGTGGCGAGGCGTTAATGATCGATTGTCAATATCTCCCTCATTTGACGCTATAGTGAAGAATCAATCATTAAGGAGTTCGTTGCGAACACCCTATTTACCTATCCTTTTTGATAGGTTTACATGGCAGAGCAATCGATACATCGCAAAACACGCCTTGCCGCACTGTTATCATCTTTATACTATTCTTAAATGATTTTTCTTTTAACTCTCAGAAACATTCTTTGATAATACTGTACACTTAAAAATGTCCAGTAATACTGTTCCAAGACTTGAGTGGAGGCAGACAGAAAATGACGCGCTTTTGTGACGTCACAGTCGTCATAAGTGGGATATTCCGGATCAAGTGGTTAAATGTTTATTAAGTGATTTTAGGGGGAACATCGAAGAAAATAAAATTGAAAAATTGAAACTTTGCAGCTTGCAAATCAGACGAGTATTAATTGGGCGTGTTTCTGTTAGACGGAACTAAGCGCCAAATTGAGTTCCTTTTGAGGAATTTAAAATGCCGGATGTTCTGTCAAACGGAACTAAGCGTCATGGGAAAGCATTACGAGTATAGGACGGAACGAGCATCGCGTTCCGCAACACCCGCCAATCCAAGCCCCCCTCTCCCTTCCTCCCCCGATGGCGCCTAGTTCCGTTTGATAGAAATACATCCAATTTCAACTCGGAGAAAAAAGCGGGAAAGCTCTACTGCGTTCATGTGGACGTATTTCTACCAAACGGAACCATGTGAATTATGACGTGAGCTCAGTTATGCAAATATTTTTATGCGGCTCAGGGATCATGCCCTCTTGCACATAGTTCCGTTTAGCAGAAATATGTCCATATTAGAGAAGCGCTCAGCATAGTTCCTGTGTGGGCGCGTTTTTAAGTTCCCCAAAGAGGATGAGCACCGTTGAAATGAAAGAAATCACTCACCAAAATTTCACCCATCAATTCTGAGATAACTACACTCTTGCTATAAGAATATAAATTATAGAAAAACGAGTATCGTTCTTCGTGCTTCGACGGTATACTAGAAATCTAGAGGCAGGTTGAAATAAATAAGCACTCCCAATTAACGGCTGAGCGCTTAAAATGAGCAGGTGTTTTTTTCTCCTGACAAAGTGTTCATTAAGGCGAGTTTCGCTCGATAAGCAAAATAATTCCAAGTTAATTTTTCTTCCTTTCTTATATACCACAAAAATTGTCACTTCCTTCTCAAACTGTGAAACACGTGCATCGTATGCAAAAAATCTGTATGTTTCAAGCGTATACATTATGTCGAGATCGTAGACGCTTTATCTAAAACGAGTTGAAATATTTCCCTTTCTTAGTTCTGTTGATTGAAGCACTAGGGACAGAGAGTGTAAGCACTCCAGTTTGAAGTAGCCGTCAAATAAAGCTCCTGATAAAAGATCATCACTTAACTCCTAGGTTCAGTAGCTATGCACTCAAATTTATCACTTCGCGATTCGCGCTCCTCGAGTGACGGATTACATGTGCCACCGATATGGTTCTAAAACACCCAAAACATATCACTCGGCAAAATTGCTCCACGGCCAGCCGTTTCAAAAGTGTTTCGAAAATATTTAAATCGTGCTTATCAGTGAAACTCGACCACGAAAATGACCCGCATAAACGCGCACGGAGTCAAAAAGAAGGACAGCTTTTTTGGACCTGTAAGTGAAGAATTAAATATTTTTTATCTCCATAAGCGAATCTTTCTTACTAAAGTAAGACAAGTATTTGTGTAATTGTGTTAGTTTTGGTTAAGATAGGAAGTGAAACACAAACCAACCCAAATTTTGTGTTGATTTTGGTACAGTTTGCGGTGAAATTAGGGCAGGAAACAACGGAGTAACTGGGAAACTTCAGAGTCAACCGAAGGTACTTTGTGTTTTACTTCCTGTATTAACCAAACTTTGGTGTGGAGTCCTCTCTCTGTGTATAGATTTTCCTCATACCCAAGTAGCGGCGATCGCGATAAGCTGTGATATGATCGGAGGACGTATCACGATTTCATTGACATTGATTTATTGCAATGTTATGGGATAAGAAATTTGCGATAAAGTGCGATTTCATTGCATTTTGGAATAAAATTGCAGTTTTATCGACGGCGATTCACTAGAAAAAAACACATTGGATCTATAGTCCAGACTCTTAAAAACATAGACAAGAAAAAGTACTCTTGATTCAATCAGAATCTAGCTTAAATCAAGAACTGAGCCTCTTAATTTCAGCGGATTTCGTTTTGATTCAAGCAAAAATCCGATTGAATCAAGAGTCTGGACTCTAGATCTAATGTGTTTTTTTTCTCAGTGTTTTCGAAAAATTATCGAACAAAAAATCGTGATGAATTGAAATAAAATTTCGATTTTAACAAACGCAATTTTATAGAGATAAAATTGAGACAAGATCGAGGATCATCACTCAGATGTTGATGATCCTACCTATTTTATCGCCAAAAAATCGTGAAAAAATCGCAACTTAATTTCAAAATACCGAGATTTACCGTTGAAAAATACTACTAGGGTAAAAGGATATTTTTCTTAATGTTTTTCTTATGATAATCACCTCGCATTTAAGAATGATTTTTTCATTTGCCAGCTTTTCCTGTAAAAATGGTTGTCACCGAGGGACCTGAGTGATATAAAGGCACTCGCATAGTTCCTCACAATTTTTGGACATTTCGTGATCTTGTGACTACGAGCAAAACTTCCTTGCCATTTGAGGTCATTTGTCGAATGATCTCCTATAAATCATAGTTACCTTGACTTTTAAAATTTTGGTCAAGTAAGGATGCAGAATGTAGAGCTGCTCTTTTCACTATGACCATGGTGCTAATATACAGTGATCATAATGGTCATATATTAATGAATGAAAGGATTTTTTGATACGGAACTGACAAAAGTGTAAACTGAATAGGTTCCCCAAAAGTTATTGAGACCCCCATGATGTCATTGATATAGGGACGATTTGTGGTATATTCCTTGAGAGAATATCGTTCCCATGCGTTCTCGTGAACTCATTATTTTCTTAAAAATTGTGCATTTTGCTCAAGAAAATGGAGGCATAATGGGCATTTTTACCAAGATCAGTATCCATTTATAACAAAAGAACGTTACTAAATCTGAGATTGGGGTTTGTATTGCAGTTTGTGGCATCCATCCCAGCTTTTGTGACGCAAGTGCTGGCCGGAGTTCTGGAGGGACACGCCGCAGTCCTTCTGCCGCAACTAAATGATGCCTCAAGCCCAGTTTCCATCAGCATCGATGACGCTCCCTGGATAGGTTAGTCTGTCTGTATACCTACACTGAAAAAAAAAATCTCGTTGTTACTAAGAAAAGGGTAAAATTACCAAAAATTCAGGGTTCTATTTGATCCCAGTTTTTTCTTGATAAAATTACCATTCATGGAATTGGTAATTTTACCGATAAATCTCGGTAAAATTATTGAACTTTCTCGGTAATTTTACTGGGCCTTAGTAAAAACGCCAATATTTTTTATCGACTGTGGTAGAATTACCGAGATAAAATGGCAAAGTTACCGGGAATTGATTACCAATAAAAGTGGTATTCTTACCTGGAAAAAACAGTATAAATACCGGTTTTTAGGTAAGCTTACCAGTCTGTCTTGATGGTTAAATTACCAATAATTGGTAAAAAGAGTGAGATGGTAAAGGTACCAACGGACCTTATTGGTGAAAGCGCCGATAATTTTTTTTCAGTGTATGTACTAGCGCTATTTGCATTTTTTACTAACAAAAAAAAGGAATAGTCCGGGACATGATACATGTCGAAGAAAAAAAAAAAAAAAAAAAAACTATAGGTATCTCACCAAGGGGAAACCCGTATCTCAATAATTCCTTTAGAACTTTAAACACGAATCGACGGTGAAAGCTCCAAACCACGTATCTCGTTTGAAGTGTTTTTAATACTCCATTTCAATTTTATTTTTGTAAGGATAGAAGAAATCCTATCATTCCTAAAAGTTTGCACAAAATCGTTCTTGCGCAGAAGAGGAAAATCACGAACATGTTTCAGAAATTATGGAGGAGAGTTTTCCATCAAAGAAATAAAGTATGACGAGAAGTCTGCAACGTCGCAAACCGAAATACGTGGTTTGGAAGTTTCATCGTCTATATCTATCCTCCAATATCTAAGATAATTTGTAGATTTTCCTTCGTCATGTACATTTTAATCTAGATTCTATAATAATTATAATAAAAGAAAAGAGATACGTATTATACGTGATGAAGAGTAATAATAAAGACGGATACATAAGGATAATAAAAATATCTAATGCCATTGTTTGACTCTTTTTCAGTGAGTTTGGGTTTTGTTCTCACTCCTTTTATTGCGGTTATTAGGAAGCCTTTAATGGACACCTTCGGTCGAAAATGCAACTTGTATCTATTCTTCGTCCTATCAACTTTTGGCTTTCTGTCTGTGTCCGTCGCATCGGCACCTGCTCATCTCTATCTCGGCCGTGTTATTTCTTCAGCAGCTTACGGTAAGAACGTTATTTTCTGAAAATGTTCTTAGCAAGCAAAACCTTTACAAGCAACATGGAACAAGACTTGAGTANCCTAGATGCTAAAACAGCATATTATTTTTTTCGGTGTATGACCATGGTGCTAATATATAGTGATCATAATGGTCATATATTAATGAATGAAAGAATTTTTTGATACGGAACTGACAAAAGTGTAAAATGAATAAGTTCTTCAAAAGTTATTGAGACCCCCAATGATATCATTGATGGGTACGATTTATGGTACATTCTTGAGAGAATGTTTCCATGCATGCACTGGGGAAAAAACGCATTGGATCTAGAGTCCAGACTCTTAAAAACATCGACAAGAAAAAATACTCTTGATTCAATCAGATTTAAGCTTAAATCAAGAACCAAGCCTGTAAATTGAGCGGATTTCCTTTTGATTTATTTTGATTCAAGCTTAAATCTGATTGAATCAAGAGTCCTTTTTCTTGTCAATGTTTTCAAGAGTCTGGACTCTTGATCCAATGTGTTTTTTTCCAGTGTGTTTGTGGTGAACTCATTATTTTCTTAATGACTGTGTTTTGCTCAAGAAAATGGAGGCATAACGGGCATTTTAACAAGGTCAGTTTCCATCAATAATAAAGGAACGTTACTAAATCTGAGATCGGGGTTTCCATTGCAGTTTGTGGCATCCATCCCAGCTTTTGTGACGCAAGTGCTGGCCGGAGTTCTGGAGGGACACGCCGCGGTCCTTCTGCCGCAGCTAAATGATGCCTCAAGCCCAGTTTCCATCAGCACCGATGACGCTCCCTGGATAGGTTAGTCTGTCTGTATACCTACACTGAAAAAAAAATCTCCAAGAAATCAGGGTTACCAAGAATTCAGGGTTCTATTTGATCCCAGTTTTTTCTTGGTAAAATTACCATTCATGGAATTGGTAATTTTACCGAGAAATCTCGGTAAAATTATTGAACTTTCTCGGTAATTTTACTGGGCCTCAGTAAAAACGCCAATATTTTTTATCGACTGTGGTAGAATTACCGAGATAAAATGGCAAAGTTACCGGGAATTGATTACCAATAAAAGTGGTATTCTTACCTGAAAAAAACAGTATAAATATAGGTTTTTAGGTAAGCTTACCAGTCTGTCATGGTAACATTACCAATAATTGGTAAAAAGAGTGAGATGGTAAAGGTACCAACGGACCTCGGTAAAAGCGCCGAGAATTTTTTTTCAGTGTATGTACTAGCGCTATTTGCATTTTTTACTGACAAAAAAAAAGGAATAGTCCGGGACATGATACATGTCGAAGAAAAAAAAAAAAAAACTAGGTACCTCATCAAGGGGAAACCCGTATCTCAATAATTCCTTTAGAACTTTAAACACGAATCGACGGTGAAAGCTCCAAACCACGTATCTCGTTTGAAGTGTTTTTAATACTCCATTTCAATTCTATTTTTGTAAGGATAGAAGAAATCCTATATCATTCCTAAAAGTTTGCACAAAATCGTTCTTGCGCAGAAGAGGAAAATCACGAACATGTTTCAGAAATTATGGAGGAAAGTTTTCCATCAAAGGAATAAAGTATGACGAGAAGTCTGCAACGTCGCAAACCGAAATACGCGCGTGGTTTGGAAGTTTCATCGTCTATATCTATCCTCCAATATCTAAGATAATTTGTAGATTTTCCTTCGTCATGTACATTTTAAACCAGATTCTATAATAATTATAATAAAAGAAAAGAGATACGTATTATACGTGATGAAGAGTAATAATAAAGACGGATACATAAGGATAATAAAAATATCTAATGCCATTGTTTGACTCTTTTTCAGTGAGTTTGGGTTTTGTTCTCACTCCTTTTATTGCGGTTATTAGGAAGCCTTTAATGGACACCTTCGGTCGAAAATGCAACTTGTATCTATTCTTCGTCCTATCAACTTTTGGCTTTCTGTCTGTGTCCGTCGCATCGGCACCTGCTCATCTCTATCTCGGCCGTGTTATTTCTTCAGCAGCTTACGGTAAGAACGTTATTTTCTGAAAATGTTCTTAGCAAGCAAAACCTTTACAAGCAACATGGAACAAGACTTGAGTACTAAATATACATTTTCATGTCAAAGGCTGGCTAAGCTATTAAAGAAATGGTAAATGATATATCAAACGAGCAAAAAGCCACAAAATAAGTCAGTGCATTCAACTACCAATATGATGTTAACATAACAAGCAAAATATGAATACACAACTCATTAACAAATTTCTTTACAGCGGCAGGTAGGCGTCTCGACACAAAGGACGAGGGTTTTCTTCAACGTCTGCCCATGTAAACGTATTTTTTTTATAAGCTGTATTTTCATATGTTACTCGTTGTGCTAACATCATGTAGGTAGTTGAATACACTGACTTATTTTGTGGCTTTCAGCTCGTTTGATGAATGATTTACTATGTCAGTATTACTTATTTTGACTCAGAGGTGAATAGACACTTTTTCCACCTTAAAAACATGGTAGTAGCAGGCACATCTAGGAGCAGTGCAATGAAAACCATGGCCCTAGTTGAGTTACAATCGGACAAGCAACTAAACTAACTCCGTCACAAAGCGTAGAGTATCGCATAAATTGAAGGCGTTCCAAACCGATGCGCATTATCGCGGTTGTAAATGCCGTTGGTTGGCAATTGACCGCTCAAAAAGCACAATGAGCTTGAGGCCTCCTGTGAATGCGATAAATTTGCGAAAAAGTGTGATACGGACCACTCAAATGGAGAATTTGCTCGCAAATGTTTTATTGCTTCATCTGAGAGTGCTCAGGAAGATGATTTTGTAGGATTTTCATACTCTTTTCTGATTAGGGAAATGATATACATATAGATGTAAAAGTGAGAAAATCCACCGCCTAGTGACGTCATCTGGCGGAATTTCCCAAATGAATACTGCTGGATACTGGATACTCTCACTTATAACTATTGAATACGCGATTTTGCATGTACCTTTAAATCTCAATGTAATTTTGAGAAGTAGATGAGTATTTTAAGAATTTGTCTTTCTTTTTACAGGTCTCAGCCCTGACTCCTTCGTCTACGTAAGCGAAATCTGTGCGGACGGTCAAAGGTCTAGCTTCCTTTTCTTCCTAAGCCTAATGCGTCCAGTGGGGTTGCTGATGGTCTACTCTCTCAGCAACATTTTGGAATGGGGCATTTGTTCAATGGTTTTTGTAGTGACATCACATATCGGCCTTCTCTTCGTTTTCCACGTGCCTCAGTCACCTGTCTGGCTGGTCCAACAAAGTAGACTCGAGGAGGCAGCCACTAGTCTTAAATGGCTCCGAAGTGACCATGACGTCATCGATAAGGAAATCGCTGCGATGAAAATTTCGACCCCAGACGAGGAATTTCAGCAACGGTCCGGGCTCGCCGCGTTCTTCAACCCATCGATTTTCAAACCCTTGGCAGCCTTGGTTGCCTATTCAGTCTTGCAACATGCCACCGGGCTTTTAGTCGTTCTTAGCTTCGCACTAGACTTTTTCGGCTCGCTCAGTTCACCGTTCAACCCGGCTTATGTGATAGTCTGCATAGCGTTTTATAGGATATTTTTAACCGCGTTTTGGGTTTACCTTTCGAGTAAGTTTGACAAGGTCTTTTTGACCACCACAGCGGCGTTTGGCGCAGGTTGTCTGGTTCTCTCTGTGTGCGTCATGCAAGTTGCCTATCCTGATGTGGTCGGGCGAAACGAATCTCTTCAACTATTACAGCTTTCTCTCTGCGCGAGTTATACTCTGATCGGTGGCGGCATTGATTTTCATAACTTGCCGGTTGATCTGAGAACGGTCTTTCCACCGGATGTGCTGGGCACTGTTCGAGGTTTCGTAAAATTTTTGGGTGGCATGTTCTTGTTTTTATCAATGTTGTCTTATCCGTTCCTCGTCAGGGTTTTTGGCCTGAGTTGGGTTTTGTTTTTCTTTGGAATAAGTTGTTTTTCTTTTGGATTGTTAGTGAAGAGCCTGTTACCTAAATTCAAGGGTAAGACTAGAACAGATGACACTGAAGGCACTCACTCCACGAGACTGCAGCTGACGACATACCTATGATCTTTAATAGAAAATAAAATAGACGTACTTTTTGCGTAGAGGGCTTTAAATGACTGCCCATGGCGTCGAATAATTGTAAAACCGAAATGTTTCTCCGAATTAAATAATTTGTATGCGAATATCCACTCATCTACATATCGATGGTCAAAGTGCGAAACCACGAATTTCCATTGCGGTGTTTCAAAATCTCTGATCCTATTTTATTTTTTTAAAGAAACATGGAAAAAGTATCACAATCCCAGCTCTACTCCTGGCTACTTTTGGCGCCAGATATAAGAGTCGTTGCACCGGTCAGAGGCACGGTTGAGTCTACCGAAAGTGTGGTTGGATCAACCATACCACTAACTAGTACAGCTATACTCTTATATCTGGCGCCAAAATTAGCCAAGAGTATAGTTGGGACTGTGACACATTTTTTTCGGTGAAAAAAAGACAATTATACAGCTAGAAATCTATAATATTCTACTAACAGAGAAGAAATATCAAGGAAGTTTAAAAAAACTAAGCGCTCGAGTTGACTTTAGTTTTTAAATGAAAAAATAAAGTATATGGTAGGAAGTCTGCGACGTTGAAAACAAAGATAGGTCGTGGTTTGTGGTTCCGCACTTTGGCCATCGACATGTTCCTGTTTTCGATAAACTTGTTTGTGATATATTTGGGATCAGAGAATCAATAATGATTCCTTCGGTACCTATACTTACAACCTTGTTTTACGTATAGTTTCAATGAGCGTGTTTTAAGCGTATCGTTAAAGATTTTCATCCTACATTAGGAGTTTCTTACACTGATTTATAATATTTCATGTCTCCTTGTTTACTCTGACAGGGAAATAACTGTATCATACCGCAACAGTAATGACTCAATTTTGATGCACGTACAATGTAATGCAGTAGGTACTTTATTTGAAAAATTGAGATAAAGTAAGGAAAAAAATTAAAAATACTCAATTTGGTTGGCTTTTTAAATGGAGCAAAATTGAAATGTGCCAAAAAATCGACAATTATGGAGATTGAGCATTAGTAGCTCATTTTGATATATATGTATTGAAAAGAAACAAACGAAACTTAAAGTCTTTTACATTCCCGATTCATAGAGCTATATCCTCAAAGATTTCTTATGGCTTCAAAATAATTGCAGATGCTTGTCATAAAATTATGCTGTGAAAAATACCATTGTGAATACTTTTGATACACTTAAATGTTTGATGTGAGTATCGGTGGCACATGCTATCAGCTTAAATAAATGTATTTCTCTTTTAATTTCAAAATGTAGTTACTTTCCCATCAATATTGACCAGTTAGTCTGTTCTTGTGTAAGCTGAAAATATTTTTACAAAAAGTATGTGAGAGATGGTTGAACTTAGATTCTGAATTCTTCAAAAATATACCAAGCACCTCCAAATCAAGGGAATTTTTAATCTTTATCATGCACTTATATAAATGAGATATTTTTTTTTTATTTGAGTTTTTTAAAGCGATACTGAGACTAATTAACTTACTCATAGCCTCTTGCATACGCAAAAAGAACTCATCAAAGTCCGCGAGCTCTTATATTCAGTGTGGTTTGTGCCGAGCGCTTGCTTTCTTAACCGAGCGTTTAAGTCTCCGGCCTCACATACAGTATCCCAAAAGTCCGATCACTCCCTCTAGGATTTTACCTAATCATATTTTCAAACGAAACTTTGAGCATGTTCATGGGTCAACCTAAGCTACTTTTAAGGGTTTCCAAAACTTCCGGTTGCTCCCCTTAGGCTGCGGACCCAATCCTTAATTTTTTTTTACATATTTTTTTATATTTTTTTTATGACAACCTCCTCTTATGCACATCTTGCACATTGCAAAAAAACTTATCATAGTCCTTGAGCTTTTATATTCAGCAGTGGCGTGGCGTATTTTGCCATATATCTACTTATCTCATGCGGATATCATCTTTAAGCGTCGTTTTCTCTAACCACGGCAGTGCCCACTTTATACGCAAAAAACCGGGCTTTAAAATTGCCAAGGCGGTCAACACACATCGTCCCTCCTCTGACATAAGGGCGATCTCGATTCCTGCATGAGCCCTAGAAAGCATGGACTTACTTGAAAAACGGGGGCCAAGTAAGAATTGAGATACACCCTTGCGTCAGAGGGACGGCGATATTGAGGAAATCAGTCTGAAGGCCGATTATTGAAATCTATAAACAAAGATATAAACAAAAAATACAGTTGGAGTATGGAGCGATCATATGGGTTAAAGTGGGTGTTTCCGATAGACTAAGGGAGAAAATAATGGAGATGGACTAACTATAGTTTCTTGGGGGTTGCTGTCAGTTAGTGTATTACCTACCTCTTTTGTCGATTACAACCACCCGCTTCCACCAGTGGGATCCCTCCATACCCCTTTTGTATTCTTTGTCTATAGCTTTGTATATGCATACATAAAAGCCGCTTTCACAACGCTTTTTGACGCTCTGCGACACCTAGCTGCCAAAGTCCCTTATCCTCTCGAAGCCCTTCCGGGAGTTGCCACTCCCTTGTTTCCTCTAAAACCTCCTGTCGCTACCCTTTCTCTGGGCGTCCCCTTCGTCTCCTCCTAGGAGGAACCCAATCAAGCATCCTCTGCGCCAGCCATTCTTCCGTCATCCTGTTAACCATGCCAAACCAGGCAAGGTGTTCGGTCATGACGTCGAATACAATGTCATTTTCGACTCCTTTGATCTGTCGCGTTCTTTTATCGCGGACCCGATCTCCTATAGAAATCCGTGCCAACCTCATCCAGAAATCCATTTCCGTTGCTCTTAACATACCCTGCCGTTTCTTCATCTTCACGTGCCAAACGTCACATTCATACCAGTGGCGTGGCGTGGATTGCGATATATCGATTGTTATGCCATTTAAACCTATGGTAAAGAATCGATTATTAAGGTGTTCGCTGCGAACACCTTGTCCATCGATCCTTTTCCATAGGTTTATATGGCATAACAATCGATCGAACATCGCAATTCACGCCACGCCACTGATTCATACATGAGAATCCTTTTGACTACAACGTCTATCAACGCTTCGTCTATCAATTTCAATGATCGGCCCCCTGCAGTTCGATGAAACGACGAATTCTACCTTGCTAAGGAAAAACGTCGTATGGATATTCGAGAGTTGCCAAATTTCCTCTGATACAACGTTTATTTTGGAAGGAAGTTATGCATATTTTTCCTTCGTATTGTCAGATATTTTAGATCAAAGTGCGAACAATATCGTCCGAAAAATTTGAAGGAAGATATTCGCAACTTTCCCAGTAAATTAGTGTTTTACCAAAGGAAATTTGGACCGAGTTAAACAGAAAGGAACCAAGCCACATCAGCTATTGCCAAGTTTAACTGGGCATTTAAATTTTTTACGAGAGGACGTTTGTCCGGATTTCTTTGAAAATTTTAAGGGTTTTGCTCCGTACCATGGAGAATTTTCACTGAAATTCGCACGAAAATCCGCACAACCGTTTTCATGTAAAAAATTAAATTTCCCAATTAAATTTGGCAATAGCTGATGTGGCTTGATTCCTTTCTGTTTAACGCGGTCCATTTGACAACATCTAAAGATTAATACGGCGTTTTTCCTTAGCACGGCAGAGTTCTTCAAGAATCCGACAACTTCGCCTGTGTGCTTGAGTCCGGCCGAATCCTATTATGTCAGGTTGACGGAGGCTGGAGACGGGTGATGGCGGCCGGGGTTTTGGTTCGGGGCGTTTGGCGCGGCCCTTGACCTTCCGGCGCGCGAGCGTGGGCCCGAGGTGTCACCGGTCACCTCTGCCCGGGCTGGGCTCCGCGCCCACAAACCGATGACCACCACCGGTCACCGATCAACCGTCACCGCTCTATGCAACTCTCTCGCCGCCCCCCTACCCCGCCCTCTCGCCCCCTCCCCCTGCCCTGCCGTCAAGTCCAAGTTGCAACTTTCAAAATCAACAATAGAAACCCAACCTCCTCGCCGCTTCACACTCCCAAAAGACGCAGTGTTGCCAAACGATGGGATTTGATGTGGATCCAAAATTGGATCTTTAGCTTTTACTTCCGTGTATTGCCGCTAATTTTATACAGAGTGATCTAAAAGTCCCGTGTCACCACTATGAACCTTACGGACCTTGATACTTTTTGTTTGTTTTTTGTTTTGTTTTTTAAACAAATTTAAAATGGCTGAAACTCACAATATGCAGGATGATCCGTAAGTGCTACACCGCCAGCACCTTCAGCAATCCTTGCGGTTTTTTCCCTTTTTCAAGACGGTCTTCTTAAAATGCTGAAGGTCCCGAGATTAGTTTTTTTTACCTGTAGGAGCACTTTCAAAATGTAAAGCCTACATCTCAATTAGTGCTAAATTTACATGGGTACTGCCTAATGCTGATGATACAGGACTTTCCGATTATCCAGTATTTGTGAGTTTTAGCCACTATACTTTTTTTTTTTAATTTAAAAAAAATTGAGGAACTTTTTGCCGGATTGGATTCAATTCGATTATTGCCATCTTTACGTCAACCATAAAAAAACGACTATTTGACTTGATTATGGGATTCCATTTCTTCACAGCTTAGAATTTTTTTTCATCCCTCAAATTACCTCATAGGCAGATCCAAGGGGAGGGTATGGGGCGTGTGCCCCTCGCCCGTTTGCCCGAGAAAAAGGAGGGAGAAAAAGAGAAGAAAGAGAGAAGGAAGGAAGGAACGGAGAAAATAAGAGGAAAGGATCGTATTTGGTAATAGTTCGTGACGAAATTGGCTCAAACTGTAGATGAGACACTTTACAATTTCGACAAAATTTTGGCGGAGGCCCCTTGGATCCCTCCTCCACCCTCTCACCCGTACAAAGTGTTTGCATCCGCTTATGAATTACCTATGGAGAATTATATTACGGGACGTTGCATATTTTTACTTCTCATGTGATTGCTACAGTAATAGAATAATAGTGAATTATAGTCAAACACTGATTTGGCAGTACGGTTCCAAAGTTGGTACTGAGCGGGAAGTGGTACTAGGATCAGTCGAGGAAAACGGCTCGAAAAAAGTGAATATGATCGGCATAGAAAATGAAAGTGATGAAAGGCCTGATTTATGGATCATAGATGAATCAAGAGATGGCGACTGTTAGCGGACTGGTCACCTGTGCCAGCGAGTTGCCAGAGTGCCGTAATATTGGAATTTTACAGTATCATGCGACAAAACAGGCTCTTAATTTAATGTTAACCTCGGACGTTGCGCTGAACGCCTGAACTCAGACTTGTTTGCAAGTTTAAATAAGGTCAAAGTTTATAGGCTCGGACTTGCCTCGATGAAAATGTCGAAAAAAGTGAGGTCCATTTTTTTGAAAACTGCATGTGTACCGTTTTGCAGTAGAGGGCCAGCATACTTCAACTTTTGCCCAATTTTATTCATAACAGAAGTTCAGCGGTACAGACTATTCTGAAATTGCGGTATTATCTAAATTTCATGGAGAAAATCGTCTCAAAAGAATCTGTACAACCGTTTTCTTGGTGGAGGAAAAAAAATCGACGAAATTTGGCACAGACTGATGTTACTCGGTTCCCTCTTTAATGGCAAAAGCAAGTCACTATCGTCCTGATTTGATGTTTGAAGGGTGTATGATCACTGAAGCTTTCGTAGTATATGGATAAAATAATTTGTTTGAACTTTTGAAACTAGTTCAAAAGTATCTTAAACCAAGAGCACAATCATATATATGGTAACTTAAGGAACTTAAGGAGACATAAAGGACAATGTAATTTAAGAAATGTTACTATTGAATTCTTTCGAAAGCACGCAAAGATAAACGACACGAGACGTTACAAGGTACACGCTCGTTCGGAGGACACACGAGGAAAACACTTGGGAATTTTACGGCAGACGCAAGTTGCACGAGTGGCTCGTTAATCTGAAACGGTTAAAGGTTGATGTGGTGTGTTCAAGAATACGGCCGAGAGGCGAACCATTGAAAAAATTGAATAAATAAGTTGACACTACTCTATCAAATGTTATCTCATCTGCGACAAATTCGGCGACAAAGACCGTCTGACTATCGAGGGATGATACCACTATTTGACCATGTGGGATGTTATGTTGCCTACTTCATAAATTGAAGGCGAACTGACATGCCGTTGAAGTAACCTCTTCTAGTTTGAGACAAAGCTTTTTTGTAGGTGCTCCGAGTAAACGTGCAATTATTTAACTGTGATAGCACTATTCGGTTACGTATAAGCTCGTGCCTACCTTATACTTGGAGGCGAACTGATATGGCGTTAT